CAACAGGAATAACAACAAAAACAACAACAGCAGCAAGAGCAAGAACAGCACCACCAATGGAACCGGTGTTATTTGCATAAGTTGCTCGTGTCTCCGATTCCTTTATGCGACAAAGTTCGTTGCTTAAGTCTTTCGTTTTCTGGATTTTGCGGCAGCGGCGAAGGAAGTCTTGGCTTGTTATTGGACAATTGAAAGTGAGAAGTGAGAATTTGACAGGGACATATAAAATAAGATAATTATTTAATATATATAATTGTATATTGAATAAGTATATAGGTTTTAAATAGATAGTTTAATCAGATAGTTGAAGTAGGTAGCTGAATGATAGAGTTATAAATATATATAGGCATAAATAATATACTGGTATTTAAGCATTAGTTTTCTTACCAATTCAGATTGTTTAGTCACTCTTTCTGCTTGAAATAATTCCGAAAATCAACCCTCATTGTCTTTATTTTGGCAAGCTCTTTAAATTCGCTTTAAGTCACCTTTTGGAATATAAAATTTTCGATCAATTATTTAGTGTACAATTCATCTTCATCAATTCAATTCAAATTTGCCATCATGGCAACACATTTTTCGGTTATTTTCTGTATGCCAAAACCGCATGTTTCAGGGTCGCATATAATCTATCAGATGACCGATCCCCGGCGATCGTCGATTCATTTACTGCGCCCAGTTTGCCGTTTTGGCCTTGCTTGGGTCACCGCAGCTAATTGAGTCATAGTCCCAGACGAGAAGGGGAATCGGAGCCAAACCAGAGCCAGCGGGAGGAACACAAACACAAATTAAGCCCAATAAAAGATTCGCGTTTGCCTGGGACAGAGACTCTCTGTCCACTCAGAGGAGCACCGCAACACGGGCAAAATTAAAAATCGGTAAGAGAGCGGCCACAAATAAAATCCATTAGGTGGCAGGTACCACAACCATGTCGTGCGAGGACGGGATAGGGATAGCATGCCCCATCATGGTCTGGGAATCTGGCCTGGCTCTCCGCTCTCAGATTTGTCATTGTTAGAGACGGGTTTCGGATATTCAAAGCTCTTGGCTGGCTGGGTTGGGTAGCTGTATCTGGGGGCTATCTGTCGGTGTGTGTGGGTGCTTTATGGCCAAAGTGTCGCTAATTCCTGGAATCCCGACTCAAGGTTAAGCCCATTCATAAGGCACTCAGCGAAACTAGCTCTTGGTAGCGCAAGAGAGGGGCCCGGGGTAACTGGCTTTGGATGTGGATCACACATTTATGGCCATCAAACGGGCCGCCCAACCAGGGACCACCCACTGGCCGGACCGGGCCTGATGCGGAGCCAAAGTTGCAGTTGCAATCGGCATCAAAAGTGTTGCAATGAGGCATTTACAATAGCAAACGAGTTAATTACCACTGCTGCGGCCCCGACACATGCCTCGACCTTATAGAGGAGCCCAGCCTGCGCCTGTCCAGCCATCATCCCAACTCGGGGGCCACATGGAGTACATGGAGACGGAGACGCAGCTCTGCCAATCTGCCGCATTGATCGAGCAACCGATCTGTGATTGCGTTCGGGCCTCTCCTCCCAGGCACCTCTTCCCGGCTTTATTTTTATTTCACTTTATTTCGCTTTATATCACTTTGTTGCTGTTGTTTTCTTGCGCCTGCGCGTGTTCAAATTGTCCAAAGCGTAACAATTTAATATCGTTGTGCCAGAGCCAGTGCCAGTGCCAGAGCGAGTGCCAAGTGAGCTGGCGAGAAAACAGCGGCGGACGGCATCTGCATCTGCATAGTCAGCACCGAACTGCGAGGCAAGGAGTAACTGGAAAAAATATTTTAAAAAAGTGCTACGTTTTCTGATTTAAAAATAAGTTGTAGTTCATTCAAATTTTTACTTGAATGTAGGGATAAAAAAGTTTATGGAAAGTCTTCATCTCAACCCCTGACGAGATCTTACCAAGACTTTGGAAAACAGAAAGAAATCTTGAATAAATTGCTAAAAATCGTAGTTTAAATTCAGATATAAAGAAAATCGAATATTTATTTAAAATATTAAGTAAATTCAATAATTTTTCTCAAGTGTCGATGCACATTAACTGGCGGCTGCATCTTGTTGCTGCCACCGCTCTGCCACTTGCTCGGTTCGCTGCGGTTCCGCGGCAGCTTGTTTAACGTATCCGTATACGTATTTCGTATTTTATTTAATTGATTTTTCTGCACCGCACATGCATTGGCCATTAATTCATTTATTTATTTAGCGCTCGCCTTCGACACCGGTGCACTTGCATGGCGGCGGGAGGATGGCGGTTCGAGGATGGAGGAAGACTCTCGGTGGATTGTCGATGAATTAATCGTGCTTAACACCATTCCTGGCATTTTGTGGCAGTGCCACAGCTCCTAGAACAGATAGCAGTGGATCTGGGAGGGAGAGCTGGATCGGAAGCACTTAGCATTTGTGTATTATGGAGTCCCGATCGGTCGCCGGTATGCATGCGTCATTATCGCGCCTTGCATCATTAATAAGGCCAAAAGCTGGCGAGACAAAAAGCCACGGCCAAATCGAAACCGCAGAAAATAAATGTTGATTCCCGAGCAGCGCAAAATGTTTGTTGTGTGTGATTTCGGGTTCGGGATCGGGATCGTCGCGAAATCTTCCGTCAAGGTCAAGGCTGCCCGCGATACCGATACGGATACCCCAGACGAGCCTCAAAGCGAACCCGATGCCGCTCCAGCGAAGGTGATAAATGAAGTGTCTCCGCGCGAAATGCCCACAAATCACACGAGAGTCAGAGTCGGACTCGGACTCGGACTCGAGTCCCTGCGAAGTTCAAGTTCGCCTTGAGTGCAGAAACGCAGGCAAAATATTGAATATCAGAGCTCTAAAAGCATTTCACAATTCCCAGCGCCGGCGAGAATTTGCATGGGCATGCCATCGGACTTCCAAAATAAATAATGAAATAAAAATTAATGCCTTGACTGGCACACTGACTGGCCCTGGCAATTTGTAAACAAATTCATTAACTTCAAGACTTTCCTTAATGATTTTGAAATGTTTTCATTAACTAAATATCTGAGCTATATATTTTACAATAATAACTATTGAATGTTCTCATTATCGGTATATATCAGACCTATATATATTTAAAAATTACTATTAAAGTTTATTTACCTTTAAAAGTTTATATTGCGTTTATAAAAATCTTTAACATACCTTGGAAGCATGGTTTGCTATTTACTAATTAGCCTTCCTCTGAGCTCTATGTTTAGCTCTGCAAAATAATATATACCTAGTATATAATGTATATATAACAAATTATATAAATTTAAGTGGGAGCTGACAAAAAAAAAAAGAGGAAACACAGAGGGAGACTGAGCGAAAGAGAGACGAAAAAATTCCTACTTAAGTGCTTTTAATTATCCCAAAGAATTCCTTGGTATTCTGAGTTTGGTATCCTTGTTTGTCATCATCGTCATACTTGGCCCGTCGCGGGCTGAGGTCTCCTCCGGTCTCCGGTCTCCAGACTCCCATCTCCGGTGTCCCGTCTCCATTCTCCGATTCTCCTTCAAATTACAGGCGCGCTTGTATGTCGGCTATTCGGGGTTTTTGTCGTCTGGGTTCGGGTTCGAGTCCAGCCATAAAAGGTGAATAGCAAAGCGATATCTGGTCAGGCAGAGAGCATATGGGGGATCCTATATGCAAGCTCACCCATACATACACATCACCAATTCATATACTGCAGGGAAAGAAAGTAAAAGTCATTGGAGCCCTGACTCCCACATCCCGGAGAAGAAATCCAGGAAACCTGAAGGCTGATTCATCAGCTGTGGCGGCGATGCGTTTGGGGAATTCACCGATTCGAAGGCGACATCAGCGGGCGGCATCAGTGGCGGCGACGGGCACACACATAGTGCGTACTTCCTGGAAACCTATCTCAGTTTTGCCGCTGGACAATTATGAGCCGCCGTTAGAGCCGGGTGCCAGGCTTTACCCACTCCCAGGCAGATGTCAATGGAGCGTGCAACTGCCACCGCCGCCGCTTATCGGTGGTTACTGATTCTGAGCTTTCTCAGGAGAAATGCCAGCGGTGCCAGTGCCAGTGCCAGAAGGGGCTCCGAAGATCAAGTTGATTGAAGTGCATTTCGAAGCCGAATACAAACACGCGGAGCAGAACGAGCAGAAAGGCTCTCCTGGAGGAAGTGCAAATACGCTGCATGAAGGGATGCTGCGAAAATATTGTCTTTGGCCACTCGAAAAGTCCTTTCAAACCGAGGGCCAAAAAACGTAAAACTGATAACTAAAAACTACAGAAAAACTGAGCTCTACGTGGCCAGCACTTCATTGGCCAGAAACACAGGCCAGGGCCAAGTGCCTGGTGCTCGACACGAGGATGCTGCATGGATCTGGAGGATGCCAGATGGAGGACCGAGGACCGGCGACTGAAGATCGAGGATCAAGAACCGAGGATGGCGAATGGCGGATGGATGGGCCCCCAGCCAAGATCTGCCAAGTCAGCGTGATCTGCGCAAAGTGACGAGTTTTTAATGAATTTGTTTAACTCAGGTCAGGCCCTGGCACCTAATACGAGTGCATTTGAGCCATCCAGCTCTGGCTATGGCTACGATTCTGATTCTGACCCGGAACAGTGGTTTTCAGCTCTTAAAAATGTAAGGAAAATAAATTGAAATACAAAATCATTCCTCGATCTTAAAACCTGGAAAGATCCGTAAAAATTGTCTATTTATTACATAGATAAACACTTCTTTATTATTTTATTTAATAGCAAGTTTATATTTTTAATCAAAAACCACTGTGCCATGCCGTCTGCGGAGATGCTTGAGCAGACCCCATCAAAGTTGATGGCGCGACAGTCGAGGTCGCTGCTGCGGTCCGTGGCAAGTGGCGATGATGGGGATGTGGATGTGGATGTGGATATGGATGTGACTGCGACTGTGTCCATGACGGGGGATGATGCGGTTGATGCCGAGGCTCAAGTGCGCGCCTGCGACTAGTCCTAGGATCTGTGTGGAGTTGAGGATGAGGATGGAGGCGCTGACGGCCCGCACTAGCGAGGTGCTAGGAAAGCAGATACACTGGTGGATACTGGGTGCAGTGAGTGAGTTCCTGCCTCTTGAGGTCGTCCAAGTCGTCATCGTCAGCGACGACGCCAGCGTCTGGGTCTAGGATGAGTGGTCTGGAATCTAGCAGAGCAAACAAAGGCAGCAAGGCACTCGAGTTCCATCCAGTTTCCGACTGTCCGAAGAAGAAGGAGGAGCAGGAGCAAGGGCAGGAGGCAAAGGCGCGTCTCATGTCCTTCACAGTTCACTTTCGTTGACCACGAGGCGCTGTCCGCTGATACATTTGGCGAGACCTTTTTACTTCATTTTTCCGCTGGCTGCCCTCTGTGTTTGCTCCTCTTGTGTTCAACAAAATGTTCCAAATTGTTGCGCACTGCAAGCATCCCTGGAATTTGCGCTTAACAAACTTCGGCAAATGTTTTCCGTTTCAGTTTTTACAGGGCGAGAAAAAGGAAGCAGGTTATGAGAAATAAAAAGGTATTAAAATTAAACAAAATAAATCATACAAAAATAGGGAATTAAATCAAGAAAGATTTTATGATTAATAAGATCTATTTTTCTCTTATTATAATCATTTTTTAGCTCACAGAATTTTAAATTAATTTTAAATTATTTTATTTTTCTTCAACTTGTATCCTAAAAATTAAATATTAATTATTCGCTGGGCCTAATTTCTCTTACTCTCAGTGTGTTTCTTGGTTTCTTTTTTACTTTTTTTGAGGTTTTTTCCCCTGTTCTTTTTGCCTGAAATTTATACGCAGCCTGCAAATAATTAAAACGAGAGCTGAGCCGCCGCCAAGTGTCTCTTCTGCTGCGTAAAAGTTCATAAGTGTATGTGTGTGTTCCCACAACGAAAGACTTAGGCAACGAACTTGGCCAGCCATCAGCAGCAGTCAACGGGCCATCAACAGAGAAGACAGGGCACAGTTACACGGCCGTCCCCCTAATAGATCATTATTCAAAGAGCCCGAGCTGTCAGGTATTTGTTTAATTCGATTAACCCCTGGGCCCGAGCATAACTATAACTATAACATAGCGTTCGTTCGAGTTGCTGTGACCACCATAGCCATAGCCTCGCCTCGGCGGTTTCCCACCATATATGTATATATATTGGCGAGAGTCGCAGTCAGTCAGAAATGAAATCTATAAAACAAAGCTCCAACGAGTTCCAATTTATCATCGTAGCAGACATTAATTTTACACACACTCAAGCGGAGCCAGAGCTCGAGCTCAGCCACCCGGTTGATTTCATGCCTCGAAACGAGCCACAAAAATTAATGTTAATTAATTTGACTTAAACTGACGATTTCAACAGACACATTACTGCGGGGCATATGGCAAATAAAAGGCCACAGAAATAGCGACAAATCAAAATGGTAACCAGGTACCCCATTGATGGGGCCCGATTGATAATGCTCGTCGATCCCCAAAACGAAATCCCACTTAAAAGCTTTTCACTCTCTCAAAAAGACATCAAATCCGAATGGCGCATAATTAACTTGTGCATTGTGGGCCGCGCGAGTGGGAATCCCGCTGGATTTTAATATGTTTGTTTGCCGATCGCCGCGCCAACGTTGCAAATTCAATTAGGCCCGAACATGCTCTCACTTTATTAAATTAAACTGCACCCGAAAAATCGTGAGCCCAATTCTGAGTCAAAACCAAAGGCTCTGGTTCTCTGCTCCTCTCTCTCTCTCTCACTCAGACACCAAAGAATGCAGCGGCCCCAAGTTGTTGTTATCTTCGTTTCTGGTCTTCGCAATTCTTCCGAGACGCGGCTCCGAAGACAGAGACTCGCGATCGCGACTCTGTCCTCGGGCCCGAGTAGAAATTCTCTAAACACGCTGTCAAGTTATGTCTACATTCCTTGATCATATTTTTTCCAACTGTTTTCATACCCGCTACTCCTGGCCATCATTGGGTATACCGATTCGATATATGTCGAGATATATGCCCATTTAAAATTAACTCTGAATGGATTTTCGTGTTTATTTAGCATATTAATGCAGGGCGTTTCTAAAGCTTTTAAAATAATATTGATATTCGTGCCTGGTCCCAGCATTATAATAATTTACGTATCACTTTGAAAACGGTTTCATATCAATTTTATGCCTAGGTCTTCCATATAATGGGCTTTTAAGTCTCAAGTTATGGGTTCCAGGCCGTAAAAGATAAGGGAAGGCTGATCTCTTAAGGTGTCCATTTAATCAGAGGAAGTCTATAGTATATAGTGGTGATTTAGTTGCGAAACTTGATAGAAACCTATAAAATATAGGATGTCTAAGGGTCGATCCACTTGAAAATAAAATGTTTACTTATTTTGGTCTCTCCTTTCTGGCTTCGTTCGCTGCCTGGGTATTTCGTTAGTTTCTGAAATGCTCTCCCTTCGTTTTTGTCTCCTGAACATGATGATGATGATAATCCTTGCGAGCGGAGGACCTCTCTCAATCCCATTCTCTCTCCTTTCCATTTTCTCACATTTTGTGCGAAAGTTCTATTTAAACTTAAACTTGGTCATTATTTACATATTTTATTTGTATTTATTAAATAATTATTTTAAGATATACCTTAACATATTGTCATCTACAAAAATTGAGTTTTCCATGTGCAACTTTCTAGTTAAAGCTAATTTAACCCTACAAATATGTGAAACCTGATATTCCATAATTCTTTTTATGTATATTTCAACAATTTGTCATCAATTTAAAAAAGTTTTTAATATTGATTTATGTTCAAGTCATTGATTAATTTAATTCAAACTTGGGTAACCTAATACTTAAACTGTCGTGACAACTCTTTTTATTTTACCTATTTTGTAACTTTACTGCTTTAATATTGCCCTGAAGCAAGTAATAATAAATTAAATAGTCACAAAAAATATTTAAAATTTTTTTCGAAAGCTAAAATCAAAAGTTAACTCAATTTGAAGATGTTTTCTTCCAGAGGAAGTGCCTTGAAATAATCGTGAGCAGCTTCCCCACTACGTAATCGCCTTCGTGCTGCTCTCTGCTCCTCGCTCCACGCTCTCTTTCATCCCAAATTCTAGTTTCTTAATGTGGCGCAGTAAATGAGCTTAAAAAGCCTCCCACAGCTCTCTCTCCCTCTCTCTCGAATTGAGTGAAATAAGTTAAAAGAGCTCGATCTTGAGCTCTTTACATAGCCACTCTCTGAGCATATTTTACTTGAGTCTCTACTTGGGCAAGTAAAATTCCAAGCACGTGTATTTTTAATTGGTAATAGATCGATTCACCTGAATAGGCCTTCAAAACGGAGCGTACTTATCTGATCTGTCATTGGAAATGACCCATTAAAGTGTTCCAGAACAAATACTTGATGGATTAATAGACCTGTCCGCGGCTGTAGTTAGAAAAATGTATCCAAACAGCGAACTCTTGGGGGCAATAGGTCTTCTCCTCTGGATTTTATTTGCCGACGGGGAAGCCACAAAGGTTATATTTTTAATAATTAATATATGATCTTTACAATACTTTTTTAATCCTTTCTTCTTTTTATCCAATCCTAGAAAGTCGTTTACAATTCCATCGAATGCTCTTTAAGGGGCAAGGTCTTCTCAAAGATCTACTGCCAGCGGACTTCCAGGCTGTCGCTGAACATCGATGTAACCATCGGTGAACAGCCGGCGGACAATATATTTGGACTCTGCGAACTTACACTGACCTCCAAGGGACAGCGGAAGATGAGGCCATTGAAGGGTTTCAAATTGGACTTGTGCCACCTGAAAAGGAACTCTAAGACTCAATCCTTGCTGGGCAGCTACTATAGAGCACTGAGCAGGGCGGCTGTAAACCTTCCTGCCAGGTGCCCCTTCAGCAAAGTGGGTATCTAAGTCACCACCAAGTCTCCTTATTTTGATTAGCTCATTTGGTTCTCTGATAGGACACCAATATCCTTCTAAGGGGACTAATTCTGGATCAGGAAATTCCGCAATACTTACCAGAGGTAAATTACACTTTCAAAGGAAAGTTTTATGCCAACAATGAGTTAGGACTCGAGGTTAAGGTCATTGGTGGATTTTATATAAATGGTAGTGATTCCAACCTATGAAGAGTGGAGTTTCTAGGAAGAAATCCGAGTTTAACAATTTGTTTTGAAGGAAAAGAATTAGTTTTAAAAAACGAATTTGTCAAGATTTTAATCAAAGTAAAATATAAGAAGGATTATGCATTACAAGGACTAAATAAAATATTTAAATCGTTTATATTTATGTAATTATTTGTTTATATTTTATTACAATTTTATAATGATAAGTTTAAGACCTTGGTAATCTATATAGTCAATTTCAATGCTATGAATTGATTTAAGAATATATATTATAGGAATATTATTTGTAATCAATTTTTTTTAGGCTAAAAAAAATCGATATTTAACCTCATATTTCAGTCTGATTTAATGGTCCTTAATAATTGCCTTGACAATAGAAAGTTTAAAAGAGTTACTATTACATTTTTGGTGACTTCTTCCAATTAGATACAAAGCCTTTTTAAGACTCAAAATTATTAACATTTTAAGTTATTTGTAGCAACTATTTTTAGTTAGTGCTAACAATTAAATTAAGGCACTTTAAATCTATTAATATTTCTTACCCAAGCCGAGTTAGGATTCAGTTTCTACATGCTCACGAGAGGAGAGCTGAGCTCAAGAAAGCAGCTCAGAGATCGATCCCTCTACCATTTCCACTCAAAACCGGCAAGCAGGTAAGAACAGGTAGGGAGAGAGAGATCCGAAACCGACTCCACCGCATGTCTTTAACTAAGCCCGGCGAGAGCTCGGTGGCAGTCAGTCTGTCAGCAAAACTCGAGGCGAACGGTACGCGCAGTCGCACATCCGTACAACCGTGCACCCGTGCATCCGTCAGATACAAAACCGAACCGATGCTCTCGAAGCAACCGAACTAACGCAGTGCGGCTTCTAAACAACTCGCGGCCAAAAACGAAACCCAGTGAGAACGTCGTCGACGACGGACAAGGAGTGAAACATATCGAGGCAGAAAATACATAAAGCGGAGGCATAAAAATTCCTCACATCGCTCGGTGTGCGGACAAAAAGCCTAAAATAAAACACAGCCAGTCGGCTGGCGGAGGTGCGAGACAAGAAATTAAATTGATAAAGCCTAAAAAGCCACGTTCCTAGGACCTGGACCAGGCCCAGAGACCCAAGGCAGCGAGGACAGGGCCCAAGACCGAGCACTGAACACCGAACACCGAAAACCCAAGACCCCGCTGCTCCGCAGAAACTTGTCGCGCTGTTTGCTCTTCGCGGGCAATTATCGGGCGGATCGGGATCCGGGAATCTGGGAATTCGAGTGCGAATCCAAGTGTGCCAGTGAGTGTGCGAGTGTGCAGTGAGTGTGTGTGCTACGGGCTGGTGTGGCAAATAGCTCAAAGCCACGAAATTGCTTTTATCGGAGCACCGAAATCGCCAACTGCTGAGAAATTAAAAACAAAAAGAGAAACTGTTGTGCTGAAGGGCCAGCAAAAAATATTAACCCGCCGGGCCTGGCCAGCAACAAACCTAAAAAAAAAAAATAAAAACAAAACAAACAAACAAACCAACGGCCAGCAAAAATGTATAATAAAAAATTACAGCAAGTGATCGTGCAGAAAATAGATCGATAAACCCAAGCCCCAACCCAAACCGAACTCGAACCCCGAAAAGCTAAGCTAAAGCTAAGCAAAGCAACAAAAAACAAGAGACGAAAAACGCGGAGTATAAAAATAAATAAACGAGCGACGATCAGCAAGCGATCAAGGAGCTATAGCAACTATATGTAGCATCTATAGCAGGAAGAGCACGTTTCTGTGTTTTTGTTTCAATTTCAATTGTGGAAATCGTAGAGGAAAAATTCGAACCGGTCGCAGGAGGAGTTGAAGTCACCAGCAGAGGATCAAGAACCGACGAAGAAGCAAGCACCGCACCGAGAACGAGAACCCGACAACCAAGAACCGATATTTATTAAACAAAGACAGAAATTAATTTCACGACTTTGTGCGGCACTGCATCAGTGCCCCCGCCAGTGTGCCCTGCATCCCGCCCTCCATGCCCCACTTGAACTTTGAGCCTGAGGTCTGGGCTTGAACAGGGAATCGGGATCTTCGGCTCGCCGGCAAAATGTACGACATCAAGCGCCTGGAAGCGGGACAACAGAAACTACAGCAACAGCACCAGCACCAGCATCAGCACCAGCATCAGCACCAGCATCAGGGCCTGGGCCTACGCCAGGAGCAGCAGCTCACCTGCAGCGTGATCGCAGCGCCCGAGCACCGGACCCATCCCATCTCCATCTCCAGTCCCAGTCCCTGTTCCAGTCCCAATCCCAGCGAGGCCACCCACATGACGCTGCTAACGTTGCGCCGGCGCCGGTCGCTGCAGCGGCGCGCCTGCCTACTCAGCATCCTGGCCGCCTTCGTCTTTGGCATGGCACTGGGCGTGGTCGTGCCCATGTTCGGCCTGCCCCACCACCCGGAATCCGCTTTAGAGACAGAGACAGATCAGCCAGCGGAGCCGCTGAGCAGCTACCGCGTGGCGTTCATCAAGGAGGCGGACTTCGCCACCGAGCTGAGTGCCGAGCAGGTCTTCCGCAACGCCTTCCACCTGGAGCAGGACAAGGATGCCCCCGATTCGATGGTGGTAAAGAAGCTGGACACCGACGACGGCAGCATCAAGGAGTTCCACGTGCAACGCACGGCCAGCGGCAAGTACCGCAAGGGCCCTGAGCGGAGGCTCTCCAAGAAGCTGCCAGAGCGGCCGGCTCAGCCGGAGACTCTACGCTCCCCTGTGGTAACGGCCTCGCCGGATCCCCTGCAGGCGGGTCTCATCGAGGAGGACGTCTTCTGGGGTCCCACGGTGGAGCGGGCCCTTCCCCGGGGATTCGCCTCTCAGGATCAGCTCAGTTGGGAGCGCTTTGTGGGCGAGCAGGGCCGCGTGGTGCGGCTGGAGCAGGGCTGCGGACGCATGCAGAACCGCCTGGTGGTCTTCGCCGACGGAACCCGCGCCTGTGCTCGCTACCGCCAGAACACGGACCAGATCCAGGGCGAAATCTTCAGCTACTACCTGGGCCAGCTGCTCAACATCAGCAATCTGGCGCCCAGCGCCGCCACTGTGGTGGACACGAGCACGCCCAGCTGGGCGGCTGCCCTCGGAGACATCACACAGGCCCAGTGGAAGGAGCGCCGCCCAGTGGTGCTGACCCGCTGGCTGTCCGACCTGGAGCCGGCCGGCATTCCTCAGCCCTTCCAGCCGCTGGAGCGGCACCTCAACAAGCACGACGTCTGGAACCTGACACGGCACCTGAGCCAGGAGGCAGAGCAACTAGTACAACCAGCACAGGGACTGCTCAAGCGGCTGGGTGCAGGGCCGGGACCAGCTGCCAGCTCGCCGGGCTCCGCTCATCAATCAAGCACGATTGAGGAGACAGGAACGCTGGTGCAGCGGCTAATTGAATTGGCACAATGGTCCGATTTAATCGTCTTCGATTACCTGATTGCGAACCTCGATCGCGTGGTGAACAACCTGTACAACTTCCAGTGGAACGCCGACATCATGGCCGCGCCGGCGCACAACCTCGCTCGCCAGTCCGCCTCGCAACTGCTCGTCTTCCTGGACAACGAGAGCGGCCTGCTCCATGGCTACCGGCTGCTGAAGAAGTACGAGGCCTATCACAGCCTACTTCTGGACAACCTCTGCGTCTTCCGGCGGCCCACGATCGAGGCTCTGCGACGTCTTCGGGCGGCGGGAGCAGGTCGCCGGCTAAGGGATCTGTTTGAGCGGACAACCAGCGCCGGGGTGCGAGATGTGCTGCCCTCGCTGCCGGATAAGTCGGTCAAGATTCTGGTGGAGCGCATCGATCGGGTGCTGGGCCAGGTGCAGAAGTGCCAAGGCAGCTAGTAGACGCCTCAACAACCCTCAACTCGACTGATAAGCTGTAAATAATGAAGCAGTGGAAGCCTCATCATCATCTGGATCGGAGTGGGAGTGCGAGTAGTCAAGGGGTCAGGGGAGTGGGCAGGGTTCAAGAGATTTGTTATTAAATTGATTAATTAGCTAAAAAGATTCTTTAAGACGAAAAGGCGAAAAACCCCAGAAAAATCCAACCTTTGTCTAAATTTCTTGAATAGTAAGGAAGAACCCTTGCCTAAGATCCCTGCCCCAAGTAGATCCAAGTATTAACTGGTGATCCACTGAAGAAGAAGCTTAACTAACTTGTAAATGCCAGACCCTCTGTCCTTGAGTATTAAGCTTAGACCTAGCCCTAAATGTATCTGTATAAAAAGTAAGGCCCAATAGAATTAACAATTTGTGTGATATTCGTGTAAGCAGCCTAAGTAGATTTCATTTTACCTTTACAACCAATAAACAACAAATATATACCGAATACCGAACGAAATGCGCCAACCGAATGTCACTTTGAAATATGGAAAACCATCCAACAGATGCAGATGCAGATGCAGATACACGAGTATCTGAGCACGCCTGCGCCTTGTGAGAACTTACATAGTCATGACAATAAATTGTCATTGATCTTTTTTTGCAGGTGAGATGGAGATGGAGCAGGAGATGTAGATGGAGTGGAGCTGGAGCTCTGGCTGGAGTTCCAGTCCCCCGTCTGCCTCCCTCCTCCTCGGCATTTGTCAACTTGCCGCTGCCCCGATGGAACTTGCCACATAATGCAGGCTCCACTTCTAGATACTCGGTGCCACACTCACACCAAGCCACAAGTCGGAGACGGAGTTGGAGTTGGAGTCTTCTGCTGCTTTTCATAATATCTTCATAAGCATTTGAGAGCTGCCTCTCTCTCTCTCTCTTGCTCTCCAGAGGCTCAAGTGCAGCAGGAGAAAGATGAAGCCGCCACAGCCAGACCCAGAGCCAGTTCCAGATACTTTCCACAAACACACGCTCACCTGCCCATGCTGGGACCGAGCCAGATACACGCTCTCGTGGATACACAGACGACGTCTCCATCTCTCATCCCCCAGCTCTTCGCTCCCGCGACCGCATGTCTGACTTTAAGATTTAAGATCGCTGCTCATTAAGTGCGTCCGCATGTCTCAGCGACAAGATGCTGAGAATCTCTTACTCGCCGCCCCTCTTCCTCCCCAGACGCACGTTTTGCATCTGATTTTGCTGCGTATATTTTATTGGACACCAGAGTAGTTCACGTAAATAAAAATGAAATGCAACAAGGCAAGTGAAGCTGTGTCGTACACGCAGAAAAAAGGGTACAAGTATGTTATTTTGGGGTGAAATTAAATTTAAATTATAATAAGATAGGGATTGCAAGATAAAGTTAAAGGAAGTTGAAGAAGTTAGAGAAATCTCATCTTATATCTATTATTTTCTTAGGTAAGGAATGTTATCCTATATAGAATAGGTATCTTTTTGTGGTATCTTTTTCTTCTAAATAATAACCAATCTTTAGACTGCTTTCTTGCTCTGCAGATGGTGAGAAGGAGCTGGGCAGTGGGTCTAGAGTCTGGTGACTGGTGACTGGGGGACCTGGGCGATAGTTATCCCCGTGTGCTAACTACCAAAAAATGTGGCTCGGCCGAGAGTTAATCAACTCACGCCTGAGCAGAGCACAGATATTTTGATAACCCGTTTCGGACGCGCCAGATAAAATATCTCCATCTCTCCGCAGAAGCTCCAGGGAAGCTCCAGGGGGAGACAGAGAAAGAACAACACCGAGAGCGAGAGCTGCATAAAAAATCGTTCGGCTAGTTTAATAAATATATCAAATAACCTAAAGACGTGTTAGGGAACTTGTGACTTTAACACGTTCACAGACCCGGCCGCCGCAAAACTCATTTTCGAATATCGTCTTACCTTTTCGGTTCGCTCCGGGCCGTACAATGTATCTTGCAAGCGACTCGGGGGCTCTCTCTCATCTCGGAATGAAACCATAATAAAACAATATAATTGAGATGGACGGAAGAACGTACTGCGAGTGTAGAGCAACCTGAGACCTCAACCCCAGTACAGTCCGCGGGTAGGAGATCGAGATCTGGTCGCCCACCAACCGCGTCTTTGTTTACAGTTTACAGTTTACACGGTTTATGGCCGAAACTGCAAACGCCAAACAAATGTGCCAACATCGACGGCGCGGCTTTATGAACTTATTAATACAGGCGAATGAAACCGAAGCCCCATAAAACGCCCGAGGGCCCCTATAAAACGTAATGCCACTAATGCTAATACCCAACATCCAATTGCCGATCGTAGAAAAGCTAGAAGTCCGTAAAGAAACCCTCGCTCTGATTCCAATCTTGCCTTATATGAGCACTTAAATGGGGTCTGGTGAGATGGTGGGGCCTTGAGAAGAATGCCTTCCATTGATCCGTGGTCCATGAAGAAAACAGATCCTAAAATTTAATGGGGTTCGTGGCTAATTCAGGGTGATAAATAATCTAATGTTCAGTCATATATAGATATTTCGAAGAATAAACTAAGTGGGAAAAGATAGTATTTACTCTTGTGTAAATGGAAATTTATTTACTTTGGATTGATGCCTTGAAATATTATTATTACATCACTAAATATGTATAAAAATATATTTAATAGTATAAACAACACACATATATATATTTTTTTTTATTTATTTATTCATTATATTTATTTACAAGGCAACATTACAGTATTAAAATAGGTTTATACATACCTTGTACTAGATACCTTGTTATAGTTTTATCTTTATTGAATTTTTAGCACTTATAAAAGATAAAAAAGACGCTTAAAAATCCCTTTTAATAACACAACAAATAATGGCACTACAAGATCCTAAACTGTGAAAGCAAAGATAGCGCGCTGTGACCAAGTCACACAACATTTGTTTGGTCAGACCACATGATTAGCATATGCGGGGATATCCTGGAAATTCCTGGACACTCGCTCCGCTCGCTCGCTCGAACTAATTTCCGACCATAAAAGTTTCAAGTTCGAGCCCATATATCTCGGCCGTATGTTGACTCGGGCCCGGCCAATACATCCTGGCTAGTTGCGCGGCAATCAAGTCGTTGCTTCAGTTTTCCTGACTGCCTGGCAGGGCAAACAAATCTGCCAGTTCGCCTCGTTGTTGTTGTTGGGAGTCTGAAGTCTCAAGTCTGGAGTCTGTTGGCGTGGTCGCTGTGTGCACAATAATTTGCATATTTGTATGCTCACCAGCACAAGCGCCCAGAGTCCACCATGGCCTGGCAGGGCAGGGCATGGCATGGCATGGCTGGCATCGTATGGTATATGGAGTCGGGCCGCGTTGTTGCATGCAATATTTTCTCGTGTTGTGTGTTTACTCTTTTCGCTTTTATTTAATGTCCGCACTGCCTCTCAGCAACTTGTAGCAGTTGCCGTTGCGTTGGCCATTGCTGCGTTTACTGCGAAAATTCTAAACAAATTGCTTCCGCACCTGCAGCTACGTAAGAGGTATAGGTATATGTATAAAAAAAAATCATGCACCGGCGACCTGGAATCATACGGAGGCAGAGTCAGAGTCAGAGGCACAGTCAACTCCTTTGTGCTCCACATAAAGGGAGACATTGTGCGGAGGCAACACCTTACTCCCCGCCATCAAAATAAAACATTTTCCACTCGTGAAGAGAAAGCCCTGAGCGGGCGAATCGAATCGAACTGAATCACATCATATCGTAATCATAATCCTGACAAAGGTCCCGAACAATAACCAAGGAAAGGGAGAGTTCTGTTCGCTTTTCTTCTCTTTAAAGTGCAGCCCTTGGGGGCACGGGACCCGGGCATGGGGAAAATTATATGGAAAAAGGTTTCCAACTGAAAATTTATGGTCGGCACTTTTGGGATCTGATGAAAAACCTTCTTTCATTTTACACCTGAAAAGCGGAATAATATCGGGAGGAGAGCGAGATGCTTAACTGCCTTTTCTCGGGAGTCTCCTCTTGTTAACATTGGCTCGGAAAAGAAGAAAGAAGAGATGAGGGGGATCGATAGGGGCCCTGCGATAGGCAAATGGCCCGATAGTCGCGAGTCTTCTTCCAGCTAAAACATAACTTTTGATTTTAGTCGCCGGGCGGGGCTAGGGCTTTGGAGTCATTTAACGATTTCGCTGATTAATTTAACAAAGCCGGTCAATGATTCTGTCGTTTTGACATTGACGAAGTGCCGAAATTTGTCTGGGTCTGTTCTGATCTATCTGACATGGCATCATTGGCATTGGCTATGCTCCGACTCGCTCGCTCTATCTATCTGCATCTCGGGGTAACCTGTTTTCGACTCCGGATTCTTTTTGTGTTGCTGCTGCTGCTGCTGCTCTCTCGCTTTTCGGCCGAATCAGGTGAAGTGAGTTGATTGATTGCGCTAATTTATAACGACAATGGGTCAGATCGCACATGGGACCTTTGAGCTTCATCCCAGCAGCCAGCGGAGACCCACGAAGAGCGAGAGACGCGGCCTGCTGGAAAACATTAAACATGGCCTGGCCCGAGCCCAGCTTCTGCCTGCCTGCCTGGCTGCCTGGCTGCCTGGCTTGATGATGATGATGCGAGCGGCTCGCTGATGAATGAATCTTTTCAATTTGGAAATTTTCAAACAAATTTGTCAAAAACGCACAAGAAAGAGAGGTTAACAGAGGGAGTGAGAGCGAGACAGCCAGCGTTATGCAAACTAATGAAATCTCAAGTTCGTTGCCCAAGTCTTTTGTTCTTCAACATGCATTTTCCTAGTTAATTGCTCGTGATTGAATTATAAATGCACGCAACCCTCTTCGGAGCTAATGTGCAACATAATAATACGATTCAGCTGCCCATCTAACCGAATCAGACATGCCTTGCCCCAAATCTAGGCAATCTCTCTGCTCGTCTCGTCTCGCATCATTCCATAGAAACCATTCGAATATCATAAATTATAAAGCCTACGAGCCGAACTAGTCTAAGAAGGAAAGCGGCTTCAGTTCTCGAAAACCCGAAAAAAATGGAAACTCAAAACTGAAAACGCGCTGCGGCCGGAGACAAGCTTTAACACCTCGGCTCAAGTCAAGCATTTGTTGTTAAACAAAGACGAAGAGGGTCAACTACGGACGCAGACGAGTTTAGGGCAGTCCCAACGGGTAGCGGGGCGACCCATCGGAGCGGGGGGTAGAAACAAATTAACAGACACCTGAAAATGGGCTCGAGACACCATCACAACACAACGGAACGTTTAAGATATGCGGGCTCTCAGCTCTCGGCTCGAGCTCTCCTCATCTCTCGGCTCTCGGTCTGTTTTGGAAAACCATTTCTCGAATAATTAAAACCCGAAGCCCATCAAATGAAGACAAAGAGTCGATTAGTAATCTGTGCAAATGCATATGACGGAGAAGAGGCGTGGCTAGCTACATAAAACCGACTCCGTGTTAGGGAAAAATTCCCTGTTGCCGCTTTC